CGTGTTTGAAAAAAAGAAAAGTTCAATTACATTTTAAAAAGTATGTACAATCACAATCATAAAACAAAAAATAAGAAAACCACCACATATACTAAATATAAAAACCCCTCATGTGATACTGTCCATTCATAATTTTCACTTATTTTGCGTTTGACCAATTTTGACTCTTCGATCTTTCATTTGTGCCTAAAACAGTCGAAAATGAAGCAAATATAAAAATTAACTCAAATGTGTTTCGTTCGATTGCATTATAAGCAAACAAAGACAAAAAGTATCGTACCCATTCATCTGCTAATTTTGTTAAATCTAAGTCACCCAATAAGTCATTTTCAGTAGAACATAAAATTAAATGTTCAATTCTTTCGTTTTTTAATGTTGTACGCAAGTGGTTTTTGATCAATTTTAATTTACTAAAACATCGTTCATTGGTTGCTGTTGTGATTGGAAGGCTAAACAAGAAATTGTACACCTTTGCAACACGTGGATATAAATGACCAGACTTTTGTAGCAGTCCTACAACATTCTCCATGTTCTCACACTGTTCAATTGTATCACGTAACAATTCAAATTCTGTAAATAATAAATCTTCACTTGATAATCCTGGTACAATTTTATATATCTGTTTACAATCATTTATTGTTAGTTGTTGAATGCGATTAGGTGCTAAATTATGAAAATAACGTAATTTTTCAGTCATGATTTGTAAATAATCATTGTAAGCTACATATAAATGATCTAATATTTGTCGAAATAGTTTGACATAAAACGCTTCTCTACAAGAAAATATGATAGCAGAAATAGGAAGTTTACTCACAAATTTACTTTACAGATCTCACCTAGTAAGTTGTACTGATGTTAATGGATTTTCATCTATTCATCGTGATCGTTGTCGAAGTCTATGCAATCGATTGAATTCCTGATCAATATCAATATTAAACGGTTCTACCAATTTTTCAGCAATCTAGAATAAAAAGTAAACTGTAAGGATGAAGTACATAACGGTTTCATTTGACTCACCAACAAAATACTCTTCAATGCTTCATCATCATTTCTCATTTTTTGAATCAATTTATTTGTATTTGTCATTAATTCCAATGATGATAATATATCCAGTTCTTTTGTTTGTAAATGGATTGTTAAGGAATTAGTTGTACGTGTAACATGGACCATAAACTTCAATAACACTACGAACTCGTACGACATTAGTTTATTTCTAATGTTTTTAGCTTGAGCTTTTGTTTCTTTATCAAATTCTTTTGATTCAATCGATTCAATGGATTCTAAACAATGAAGAATTTCATGAAATGACTCAACAACACAATGAAGAGACTCATAATTTGCGTTCCATCGTGTCTCTGACAGTGACTTTACTGTTAAACCAAATGTTGATTTTTCAAGTGCATCTCGAAGAACATAGTACCGTTTCACACTAGACGTAAAAAAATTATATAATTCTTCTAAAAACATAAATAAATTGATGAATTCAGTTGAACAATCACAGGCATGTTCCACAGCTAAATTTGAGCTGTGAGCTTCACATGGTATATGTATTATTTGTCGATTTAACTTTTTATTGATACATGCTTGTACACCCTTGTTAACACCACTCATGTTGGGTGAATTATCGTAGCATTGCCCAACAATTTTGTCTGTTGACATACCTTTTCGACCTAATGTATCTAATAATAACTGACAAATGTCTTCACCTACTTTGCTTGCTAATTTTTGCAATGAGAGCAAACGTTCTTTTACTTGATAATTATATGTATATCGAATGACAATGGAATACATTTCTCGATGTGACAAATCTGGGGTACTATCGATCAAAATGGATATAAACGATGATTGATTAATTTCATTGACAATTTGATGTTCAATTGCAGCACCTAATAATTGTATATATTCATCTTGGGATCTTTTGCTCATATATGATACCTAAATGAAAGACAGTTTTTATTAATAGAACACGGGAAGAGAAAATCCGCATAATACTTGATATTTTTGTAATTTAACTTGTGAAAACCAATCATTCAATGTAATGTTACTTCGACGTAGAAGATTGACAAGTTGAATAAAGTTTCCTACCGCAAAAAAGTGTAAAATACGCTAAAGCGTACTGCCTTTGGCTCTCGGTTCCTACCCTGACTCTCTGGTTCTCTTTTGAAAGCCAAACCTTGTTTTATCAGATAACGAGCTGAATCAAGTAATGTTACTATCACCTGCTTATTTAATTGTAAAATTGATTCTTGTTCTTGATTTGCTTTACGTCGACTGCTATCCAACATTAAATCGATATTCACTTTTTTTGTTTTATAGTTTAAATAACGTTCAACACTCGATCTATGTGTGACAGATGAAAAATGAGTATCTAATTTTCCTAAAAAGTAATAACAGAAGCGAGGAATGATTTTCAAGAAATAGTAGGACTGATGGGTCAATTTTAATACTCACCTTTTCTGTTAACATCTTGGCTTTTCATTTTATTCCATGAATTGACACCGGTAGATATCCATGCTTGTTCTTTTTTCTCAGTTCCTGGACCTGAAACGAATGACAATGATAGAAATATATCAACAGAAATGTAAAAAAAACACATTAGAAAATATCCCTAACCTTCGCCAAACAATCTGCAAGTGAAACAGAAAACTGAGTCTTTCAGTTTGCTATATTCAATGTATGGGTACTCATCGTACCATGCAGCCGAAAACATGCATGTTGTCTTAGCTGCTTTTAATATCTTATTTTTTGGAAATTTGTAAAGTCTGGTTTGAAACGAACCTACAGAAATAAGATAACGTAACTGTTCTGCAGTGAACTTGTGATCGTATTTATAATAACCTAAAATTGGATAAATAAATCGAATGAATAGTGCAATGACAGCCTTTTGACAATCGAACTTTACCTGGATCTCGATTAACCATTTTATCTTCTTCATGTTCAGTTATTGTAATTTTGTTTCGATTTGATTCAATTGTTGATACAATATTTGTACACAAACATTTTAATTCAGTACTAGCTTGAATAAGTGCATCAGCAAAACCATTAGAATTTTTTGCAAAAGTTTCAATACATAAATCGATGGATGTTGATTGTTTAATTAAATCCTGGCATGAACCTATTAATTGTTCAATTAGACGAAGCTTTACACCAATTTGTTCGACATCGAAAGAATATTGATTATTATTGACCGCATTGATGGTTGTTGTTGATGGTATCATTTCCAAAGAACTTGTACTTGATATTCCTAAAATAAAATGAAAATCATCATTTTCAAAGACTTGAAATCAGAAAGCGTGAGTTATAAAACATATCCAGTTACCTGCTGTTGATTCATTCGTTTGTTCACCACTTCGGACTAAATCTCTATTTTCAATCATTGGTGTGCTTGGTTCTACAATTGTTTCATCTTTATTTGAAATGTTTTGAAATACAATTGATTGTGTATTAGATGCTAATGATAATGAATCATTTGACGAATCGACATCATTTGTAGACATTCTCGCCAAGATGACTTCATTTTCAGATGCCTTTTTAAAATATTTTTTAATACTGTGATTTTTAATTCCTTCTCCATATGAACGTTTCATGTTCATGGTGTTTCGAAATATCACAATGATCTTGTATTAAAATACCGAAAGTTTATAATTTTACCTAAAAATGACACAAGTTTTAAAAGCATTCCTTTCTTTACTTTCGTTTAAGATGAGACCGGGCAACAGGAAAGTGTTTATTTCAAAAACCGCTGGGCTAGATGGTAGAAAAGAAGCTCAAAGACATCTTGTAGAGCATTCGTTTGGAGAAAGAATTGATTTTGTTCAGACATTAGCAATCTATAGGATTCTGTAAGACAGGCTTGATTTATTGTTTATTTGTTGTACTGTTGCTTTTCGTCTTTATCCTTTTCTTAGATGTTCGTCACAGACTGCAACAGGTGAAAGGCTGCAGTCACAAGAATACGTTAAATCCGGTTGAACATGCAATCGCTTCATTGGTTATTAACTAGAACTTTATGAATGAAGGTACCGAAGTGATGCTCGTTAATAATCGAAAAATGAAGTATGAAAATACCTTGAATATATGTTATTTATTGATTTATTTACTTATATTATATTTCCACGAATAGGTTAGTCATCACCATAGTGATGAACTAAACATGATACGCGAATAAATATATACATAAATATAGAAAGAATAAGACAATAAGACAATGTCAGTCAGTGATATCATATGATTATCATGAAAAGAACAAAAGGCGACAATTGCTATTTGTTTTGTTTTGTTTTGTTTTTTTTCTTTTCTGTTTCTTCAGTATATATATATGTCATATACAGTTCGTCATTCTGACAATGACCGATGTCTTCGTTGAAATATAATTTAATTTAAATAAATAAATAAATAAAAAATACACAAGGCAGTTTTTTAGCTGATTGTTCCATTAAAGACAGACTTCGATAAACAGAAGAATTACCATTGAGTATGACGTAATGAATATTCTTTTGCGGGGTTGTGATTAAGTAAAAAAAGGAAATTATCTTAAATATTCGAGGGTGCGTCACGAATATTGGGGAGTTGTCGCAACTCCAACAACCCCCGGTCGGGCCAGCCCTGTTTATAGACCTAATTAGTATGAATAAGAAATCAATCGATCTGAATACATCTACATTGAAAAAAATTCATTAATGATTTGCCATAATAGACACTTCTGAAACTCCATCTTGCTACTTTTCATAGGTAACAAATGTCACTGCCAAAAGAGATCGAAATGAGGAATATAACTAATTGAAGTGAAATTTTAGAGTAGTGTTATGAGACATTTTTTGATGGCTCCATATAGTTTGAACTATAGATATTTTATTGTGTATAATGCCAGTTAGAAAGACACAGAGCTTTTTGTTGTTTCAGTTGCGAAAGCCCATATGTCGTTCATTGTTATATCTATTGATTTATTAAGTTTTATATCAATTCCTCGTTAACTCTTTACCTCTCATTGATGTAACTGAAGAACTACTGATAAATGGAGCCATGTATTTCGTTGGTTAACTGAATGATGGAACGACACACTGAGCATTAATTTCTTTTTACTTGGACTACATAATGAAGAGCGAGCAAAAACTTCATCTGTCCCATATTGCTGACGTAGCAGCAAACCGAAATAACAACCCGATAAGAATTAATTTCACATAAATGCATACTATCTTTAATAGACATCCATTATGTTCTGAAACTTTTTACGATTTCTGAAGATATGTAGCTCATACTAAATAGTTCTCTAAATTCTCATGAGCTGGGATTTATGATACATGTATTACCATTTTTCTTGAGGTTGAGGGCGTGCAATTAATCAACTTATTGTAATGCGTTCAAAATATATCGAAGCTACTTGTGGATTGTCTTATCAGTTTTATAGATCCAATATCTCAAAGACAAAATGATTAAAAAAATCATTTCAGTTGGCAACAGCGAATGAAGAGAAGCATAATACATTGATTCTCGGCACTATCATTAATCCCAAAACTGCATCAACCAAAATATGATGAAACAATGTATCAGAGAACAAACAGAACAGTCATTTTCCTGTCTGTAAGAACTATACTTATATCTTTTTTTTTCTTTTATATAGGTTCTTATTCCAACTTCCAATAATGCTATAACTGAACGAACACTTTTCATATGAACTTGATCGAGAACAATTACAAAAATTAATGACTAACGATTATGAATGGTTTATTTTACATCGATTAGATGAAAAGTTTAAAAAAAAACGCTTTTATTCTTTATTATGTTTTTTGAAAAAAGTATCTGTACACAAATGTAAAATTCACAACAATGTGGTTTTTTTGCTGGTGCGTGTTATTTAGGTAATTTATAATTACATAATTTAGAAATAATTACAATGCAATAATTTAATTCTTTAAGCCATATTTATTGAAATTTGCATCTTCAGACCAATCTGGTATAGCACCAAGTTTTCAATCATTTCACAATATTTTTCAAGCACTAAAACAAAAAAATAGAACATTTAGTTGGTAGAATATATTAAATGTTTCAAGTACAAATAATACCTTTACATTTTACTGATACTGAGCGCAAGAAACAACTAATCAATCCTCGCACTCAAGATAGACTTGTGCAATTTGTGCAGTCATCGCGAGAATGAGTTTCGTTATTAGTATCATAGGTGAAAATATAGACGTCATGCGTATTTTCTTACTATCTGGACTATGATGCCAAACAGGTAAACGGATGCAACCGGAAGTAGTAGGTGCGAAATCCATGATCGAAAAGGTTGATCCCCGGCATTTCGATTCAGAAAAACGGAGATATGCATCAGAGGTGGAATCCGTGGAATTTTTTTTCCTGAAATTTTCTTTACATATCCGACCGAATATTGCTGGAAATGAATGGACAAATCCGGAGTCTTCCACCGAAGATTACTGTTTCCATAAAATCATAGGAATGCACTTGAATTGGTCGTTTTCGGATCGTACTGTTGAACCTGGGTAGCGAAATTCAATAGAAATTTCCTGAACAAAAGTCGAACAATAACAAGCACTTTCTCTCCGAATAGCTATAGAATTATTTGCAATGAAAAAAAGAGTACAGTATGAATTTGATAAGCAATGCAACATGACAGAATACATGCTCGTCGTAATAGATAAGAGAAAAATACTATCAGAACAACAAAATATCAGTAAGTCTACTTTCTTCATATTTTTTCAAATGTTGCTGAGTCACATATTTGATGACAAAAATAATTGTATTTCTATCGTACACTGTCAATGGAGGAAAGCTGAGAAGTCAAGTCAAGTACAGCGACTTGATCAAAACAATTTTCCATCTTAACTTGACTGTCAAAGGACCACTCCCATATTACGTCATCACTTTCTTATCGATTTTCGGACCCTCACCTTCATCAATTGATCAGCAGAAGTTTTAAGTTTTTAATAGTATTTGCTCCTGCTGTTTCGTGATATCATTTGAAATCTGTAAACGAAAATCATGACTTCAAGATGATATTGAAATAATCTTAAGAATGTTATGCATTTTCAAGTTTTCAATGATTTGTTCGTAGTGTAAGTGTAAAATTGATTTGTATAAGTGTTTTTCATTTTTATATTTTTGTGGGAACTTTCGATCTTCATACGATTATTTTGAACCTTTCCCAAGAACTAGTTTTCAAAGATGTTATAGACAGAGAAATATATAATACAACATTAACTAACAAATCATTGAAAACTTAAAAATGCATAAAATTCTCAGGATTAATTCAGTATCATAATTAAAAAGCAATAGTTAAAAGTACATAGTAATACAAACTTGACTCAATATTATATACGTATTAGAATGACAATGTTCATGATGTATTAGTTAATGTTGTATTATATATTTCTTTGTCTATAACATCATTGAAAACTAGTTCTTGTTAAAGTTTGAAAATGATTATATGAAGATCGAAAATTCCCACAAAAATATAAAAATGAAACAAACACTTATACAAATCAATTTTACGCTTACACTACGAACAAATCATTGAAAACTTAAACAGACATTAATTTATAATAAAAATTATATGTTTTGTCGCAAATATATTAGGTAATCTTTGATATATTCTAGCTCGTTCAATAATAATCGTTATATTTCACAAAATCAGCCAAATAATCAAAACCATCAACACGATTGACAAAAAGAATGCCAAAGCTGTAGTCAATGTACTCAACAATATTTCAACCAAAACAACAGAAAAACGAGGTAGAGAAGCGTTATAAAATTTAAACATATTAAAAACGAACACATATGCAGCAACACCAACAGGTGGTATAGGTAAAAAATATCTTAAACGAGAAGAAATAATAGAGCGTGTAAAATAAAGTATAATCCCTCCAAGTGTAATCAAAGCTCCTGCAAAAGTGATTGAAAGCGTGTTGATTTTCAAAATTTCTTCATCCATGTTGATATTCGCCCCGTTATGATTAGCTTGCGCTGCTTGCTCCTCTTCTTGGTGGTCACCGTCCTGAATTATTGCGGGATGTTCAGTAGAAGAGAGTTGAGAAGAACGAGAACCGATTGATATGTGTGATTGTTGCTGGTCTTCTACTGGTACTGTTGCAGTGACAGTTGCTTCTAATTCGATGGTACTTATTTGCATTCGAGGAGTAGGCACAGGCTGTTGTGTAGAATAGTATGTGTATGTAATGTCGACACTGCACGAGGAGAAAATGAAAAAAGAATACAGCTGTATGTGCATGTTTCAGAGAGGTCACGGAAAAATTCACTCTTAAAGCACTGGATGGTAATTGTCGATCAAATGATAAATTCTGCTCTTAGTCACGAAAATTTCATCTGCATATCCGATCAAGACGAATCAGATTAAATTCAGAAAACAGAAATTCCTCGTGGGTTCGACAGTTGAGAAGGACATAATGAGAAGACATTTACACTGAAAGTCCGATTTCGTATTGAACCAGATATTCTTGTAATTGTTGTTGGTGTGCTTCTTCTTTTCTTTGATGAACAGTTTCTGACTTTTTGCCTCTACTACAACGAGGGCAAAACGCTGAAATGAGCTCGTCGCGTTCGTAAATCAATT